GTAGTAGTAGTAGTAGTAGTAGTAGTAGTAGTAGTAGTAGTAGTAGTAGTTCTATAAGTAAGATAGCTAACTGACTATTTGACTCCTCCGCCGAATCGTCTTATTTTGCCTGATACCAAAGATTCCGCCGCCACCCTGCATGCAAATATCCAAGGTACGAATAGCAGTTGATGCAAAGAGGGCTCAACCAGCGGACTGTAAACCCTACATTTTGGATTCACCATTGAGTCGCTTGGCAGAGGCAGAAACACATGGCAACAGAGACGCACATGTGATGCAGTATGTGCAGAACGTGGCTGTTAGGCGTTTGGGTGCCTGCTCACCTGCCGCTAAGCGTTATTTGCCCTGTTCGTGTCTCGAGCAATGTTTGTCTGCCTAAACACCGATTAAACCTATCATCTAATAAAGAGGAATCGTCTGCGTGTTTTTCTGTACCTGGTAGCAGGTTCCAGTGCGATTCCAAAACTTCAGGCGAATAAAGTTCATTCACGCCACTGCGGGGTTACGCCTCAGAAAATTAACTCCTTCTCTCTCTCTCTCTCTCGAGTGCACGCACGCACATGATAAACGGTCTGGTGTACATGTCATCCGTGGGCGCGCGAGTGTGTATGCAGACTCGTTGGTCGGATTGGCTAGTGGCCGTTAAGCTCGCTTTAATTGGCCAGTTTCTTGTGGCACACGAAAGTGGTTGGCGTATCGGTGAGAGTGCGGTGGGCTACCAGCCAGCAATGCCACAACTGCACGCATCCACCCGCCACCCACCGGGAAGCCACCGCGGCGACCGCTCTCCACCCACTTCTCTCCCCCCACAACCACAGTTCTCCCCGCCTATTGACTGTAACCATACCCACGCAGACACACACACGCACATTTGTACGTATGCACGCACCCAGGGATGCGATTGTTCGCCTGGTCCTCTCACATACGTACGCATATACAGAACCCACAGGGACCTCAGACTTCCTCTCCCTCAATCTGGTTCGTAGCGTCCAATTGCGGTTCGCCTCCAGGACTCTGTGGCCTCTTGCGCGTTCTCTCTCCCCTCCTTACGCCTGCTGACCCCTCCCCCGCTCGCTGTCCCTCTCCCTCTCTGGAAGCCACAGAGGCGTGACACTAGTCCCCATAAAACCTAACTGACCACCGTTAGCCGCATACAAGGCAACTTTGGAGAGTCGAAGTTCGAACCGATGTCGGACATTCTTCTGGCTGAGTACACATTACGTCGGGCCCTGCACGAGCATGCTGGAGACCTCATGGTGACCGGTAGCCCCCACATACTCTGCTCAACACTGCCCAAACATTGGCGTTCTAATAAGTCTTTGCCCACACCTTTTCGAGTGGTGAGTCTGATCCCGGTGCCCGATGGAACCCGAGTTGTGCTCACAGCCGGCAACGAGGAGAGACCCTTCGCGGAACTGAAAAATGCCGTAGCGATCATGCAGAACCAAGAAGCTCGGTTCAATGATCTACGCTTTCTCGGCCGTAGTGGTAGAGGTGAGTATGAGCACTTCTCCCATGCATTTATTTGGATGGTTGCTTAGACAAATGCACCTTGTGCGTCTGTCACCTGCTTGCAACTAATCTTTAAAAGAGGGCTTATATTTGCAGACATGCACAGTGTACCGACTAATTATTCACCCACGCTAATATTCCGAGTATTTCATTTACCTATCTGTAAAACTGAAGAAAAAAAGAAGCATACTCTCTAGGGGGAGACGACTGTTATTTGCCTTTGGTATTAATGCGGACTTCGTTAAAATAGATATTAGCATTTGAGGTCACATTTTGTTAGCTGTCGAGATTGTGAACTTCTACAGTTCCCGATATGGGCACATATTCAAGGGAGTTTCAAGGTTCTTAGAGTACGCAGTTTTCCTGTGCTCAGCTCCTAACATGGAGGATGTCAAGTTGTTTATCCCATGGTGGGACATAAAAAGACTATCTGACTAGACTAGACTATCTATCTGCATAAAAAGGCTGTTAGACCTATGGCGAATTTTGCGTAAAAAATTCTGACTTTATTTCCTGAATGAACAACGGTATATGTCGGTCAGTGCAACGCTCTATGTCAGCCAATTGGCACCCAAACACGCACTATTTACCAGAATCATAAACCACCCACCAACAATAGATGAACACGGCGGTGAGGGAGCAAGGGATGACCTGTACCACTCTTCCCTCCTTAGTGGTAACGTTTGGCATAATTGGAGACAGCAAATGAACTGCTGTGTTCTAGGGTTTCCCCTCAATCGCATGAGTGTCATTTGTACTTTATATTCCCTTCACTAGCATTCGGTCTCACTATTAGTCGTCACAAATGAACTCTGCTATTAAAACAAGATAAGATTACAAAACGAAAGTGGCGATGATTCTGTCAAACCTTTACCCGCTACATTTCAGTTACCTTGCATTAAAAAGAAATATGACGGCAGACTTGACACCAGTTATTTGATAATAAAACAATCGTTCCGCTCAGCCCACCAAGACCTATAGTCCGTATCTCAGGTTACCATCTAGATGGAGGCCAGATGACGACGGTTCCACTCTGAAGCAACCGACACGGATAGGGGTGTTCAAATATGCTAAATTGGATTCGGTTGGCAACATAAGTAACCAGCAAGTATATCGTACACAGTAGATGGGACTTTTATTCTAGGACTTCCCCGCATCCGAGTCTCTCTTCAGGCACTTTTTTGATGATTAGGAAAGTCGGATGCGGGAAGAGAGTTGCACCGATGTTGAGACCGTCCTCGGAATTGCGGTTTGCAGGTCTACGGGATAGGAACTCCCGCAATACAGGGCTAGAGGTATCATTAAATATCGAGTTAGGGTTGAACACGGAAATATGTACGCTTAGTGGAATTTAGCGCGCTGTAACCTGTATTCCTATTCTCGTGTCTTGTCTTGTGGTCAATTAAACACCTCAGTTTCTATTTCTCTTTGGGTAGTAATGATCTTACTAAAGCACAATCAGTGAGCCAATGAAGAAATCCAACCGAAGCCGCTGCTGGAAGTCAGTCTACAAATACATATGCTAAGGTGACTTCGATCACATAAACGCATCATTTACATATATTATTTTGCCAAGCTGATCGTTACTGTCTGTGTGTCTCTTCAACTTTATCTCATTGCCCCCGCGGCAAATGATACTCGGAGCGGCCCTCGGAATGAAGGTACTTCTGCACCAAGCAGTCCAAAATGTGCCCATAGTCAGCTGATCTCAACCGTTGTGATACTTTGGTATCAACTTCAGAAAAAGCTAAACTATAGTATAACTCTAAATTTCCAACCTAAGGGGTATTGGGTATAGGCGTTATGAGGCTTATGGAATGAATTAGCTACAAACAAACGCTATAATCTCCACAACAGCCTGTCCACATTCGAAGACATGGTCTTTCTAAAGTTGATCGACATTCCTTTCCTCAACACTAATGCGCAACAAGTACGTTTTCTATAATTTTGGTGTTTACATACCGCGGAGTGTTGCTGAATCGCATATTTTTATCGGGGGCGCTTTCACCTGGCGCTAGATGACGACATTAAGAGGGGCTCCATATGAACCAGAAGTCTTAAAATTCGCCAAGAGCATGTAGTCCCCCACTCCAATAATAGACCGCAAATAAATTACTTGTACGGGGAATGATGTGTAAGTTCCATAATTCCTGTTAGCTTGGGCTGGAACTTATGTACTTCGAGTAGAGCGAAATAAAATTATCTGCGTCTACAGACTCCTCCCAGAGGATGATTTAGCAGGCCATCTTTGCACAGTCGCTATCTGTTAAAAGTTCTGGTTTGAAGTATAGTTTGTAAAGCCACTTTCAGTCGAAATGGGAGCGATTTTCTAAACCCAAAACCCACGGTTAAGTCAAATGGCTGGCTATCCTGACATTCCATTCGGAAGGAATTCAAACGCGTGACTTTTGTTGTGCCCTAAATATATTTACAAAAATGTCCCTCCCTCCGTTCAAAATTATGTATTCCGCCGCTGGCGCACGTGGCAGCTCTTCACTCTGTTCAACATAGGGTGGGGGAGGGGGTGGAGGTCATACCAAAAATCGCCCGACAAAATCCGTCTGCTCCGTTTAGCAAACATATGTGTGCACACGCACACATACACAATCCCAACGCGTCCTGACTCAAAGCTCTTCAGTAAAAATCCACAAGATTAATGTTTTTAGTGGTGACGTTTGATTAAGTCTAAGCAGTTGTTCAATCGAGACAGCTCGTGTGGACTGTTATGGTCCTGTTTTTTTGTTGGCCAGCATCGGGCGGAACAAAATACTGCACAGCAGGGCTTCCTGTTCCTCCTCTTTCTCCTCTGCCGTCTGGAATGCTGCAGACATTAATTTTTGAAAGATTAATGGGCCGCACATTCCTTGTGATTATCCTACTTCGCTTGACAGTCGATTGTGTCCGAACAGACCACCTGTTTAGAATCTCAAAAAGTACAAAGAACTGTGTGGACAAATAAGGGGTGATTTGACCGGGGAAGCGGTTAGAACTATCTGGGTATTCCCAAACTAATAGATGGGTCTGGCAAATTGTTTTTCAGCCTGACAGGCCTCGGAATGCTAAAAAACTCTCGGGATAAAAGGTCGACCTAAATGTGGCACCAAAGTTTTGCTGCAGGCCACAGCTAGGCCTTAAAGGTGAGGGCGGTAGATTTGCGATACAAGCAGATGGCATTAATGAGGCATTTTGCAGTAAATGACAAAACAGTTTTATAAATACCTCAACCAAACCGTTTGCATGGATAACTGCGAGTAATTGATGCGAAACTAGAAAAAAATTATAAAATCCACATGAAGTAAGCTTCTTAGATTTAATTTTCAACTGAATCCCAGATCGTGCTGGCGCTCATATTCAATGCCAGAGCAAATCGGGTCATTTTGCAGGGCAACTATTTCTAAAATTAGCTTGAACTCTAGTCGGCTTTCTCAAACTTAGTAGACTAATTGATTATACTATATCTAACTTCTCATTACTTAAATTATACCCCCTTTTCTGCTATTGCTTTTTGATCATGTCTCCGATGCAGAATCCGTGACGGATATCGAAACGTCAGGTGAATAAAAGTGTTTTCCCCGCGATCGAATCGTCTTCTTCTAAAAACCTTCACTGTGTCTTTCGTAGTGACTGATTTTTTCTGGTCTGATTTACGAATCCAGCACATTGGTAATAAATAGGAACTCACAGTTGCCACCGTCTGGTTTAGGTAAAAAAGAAACAACTTACTTATCTTCTTTCGTACACCGACATGAAAAACACCTAGATTTGGATGGATCACTACTCAGTCACTCTTGGTATGATTGACTGGGTGCCTGAAGGCGCAAACTCTGGTTGTCATCACGACTGAACCAGCGCCCACATGATGCATACTAGGTCCTATAAGTAAGAGTGCGTTTAACCTTTCATACATCCTGTTTCCATCCCATCCTGCCTTTTTTCCAAGTCTGGGTAGCATGTATGGTTAAGTCTCTGGTTCACTACGCTTTTTGGAAACCCTCGCCATGAACTCCATGAAGTTACTGTAAGTCTACAAAATGCTTCCTTCCAAACTAACCAAATTCTTTGTTACCGTGACTACAAAATATGCACGGGCCCCGAAATGACGCGACATTACCGATTTCGTTAGTGAGACATTTTTTCCGAGTATTGTTTGTTTTTGGGCCCACCAGATGACGACCTTTGGAGCCAGTCAAAGGCACCAGAGGCCCAGCAACATGATAATCACCGAAAACTGTAACGTTCTGTCTTTCACAGCTCAGGCTTTGTACAGCTGGGGGGGTGCGATAGGTCGCGTTCCCCCCTTTCTTCACCCTCAGTCAACAAAAGCCAACTGAAGGCTTAACGCGATGACAGGCCTTGGACTGACGTCCCGGAGC